CCGACTCCGAGCTCGAGAGAGGGAGTTAGCGGAAGCAAGGAGGAGAAGTGAAGAAAGGGGACAACAATTGTGTCCCGGAGTTAGTGGAGTAGAAGTTGAAAGAGTAGTTGATTTTGGAGTTTATATTGCAGAGAACCAAAAAGAAGGAGCAGCCGCCCAAGCTCACAACTACAATGATGAGGCGGCAGAGGAGGAAGCCCCGAGGAAAATGGGGTATTACATGGCCCCACGGTCGGCGGACATTCAATCGCATATCCTACACCCACCCATGGCGGTCAACAACTTCGAAATCAAGCCGGCCCTCGTGGCAATGATTCAGAACAATGCTTTTTCCATGGGCATACAAGTGAATCGCCGAGGGAGCACGTGAAAAGATTTCTTGAGCTCGCAGGGAGTTTGAAGATAAATGGCGTGCTGGCGGTAGCTTTGCAATTAAGGCTTTTCCCAACTCACTTTCAGTGAAAGCACTTCGAGGGCTCAACAACCGGCCACCTGGTTCAATTACCTCGTGGGATGATCTTCTCAACAAATTCATGACCCGCTATTGCCCGCCTTCAAAGATGACCGAGTGGAGAAAGAAGATCACCCATTTCGAGCAAGATGAAGATGAAACCTTGGGGGATGCTTGGGAGACATTCTTCGATTATTATCTTCAATGCCCTCACCATGGGTTCGAAGAACAATTAAGTATTGAAACTTTCTACGATGGGCTCATACATGAAGACAAGATCCTCATTGACTCTCTTTGTCAAGGGAGGTTGATGAATATGACCCCGCCACAAGTGACCCAATTGCTAGAAGATATGGCCCTTAAAGGATATGATTGGGGTTTGACGAGAAGCGGGAAGAGGAGCAATGAAAGAGGAGTAAGAAGTGTGGGAGCAAGTGCTCCACTCGAAGCGAAACTTGATAAGTTGATTGAAGTGATCATTGAGGACAAGAAGAAAGGGGAGAAAGCAGTGACATCTAGTGGCTGGGATGCAAGTGCGGGCCAGGAGGAAGCTGAGTGTCACATGGTGAGTGGGGAACCGGCTCAATGCGAGCAATTGCACTCCCTTGCCCCTGGTCATGCTGACCGGATGTCTAGCCTAGAGGAGTTAGTGACGACCTTTGGTTCCTCCAGCTCGAAGAAGTTTGAAAGAATTGACAGGTTCATAGGAGAGGCGACAGAGAAATTCTCAGCAATAGAGGCGGGGTTGCAGAGTCACCAAACACTCTAGACAACCCTGACCACAAGCGTGGGGATCATCTCACAAACAGCTCGCTCCCGTAAGCAAACCGATGAAATGGAAGTGGAGCGGTTACTCTTCGAAGTGGAAGAGAGGCCAGGGAGCTACCCCCAAAGAAGAAAGCGCTCTCCTCATAGGAGCAAATGGGGGCTGCTAGCCCTCCCGAGCAACAGGAGGTCACGAGTGAAACAGAAAAGGAGAAGGCCGCTTTGATCCCCCAAACCGGGGCAGAGGAAGAAAAAGGAAACTCCAACTCTTCCCTATCCTCCTCGACTCCGAAATGACCATATGGCAGTAGAGTTTGCCCACTTTATGGAGTTGATGAACCAGTTGCACTTAAACATCCCCTTCATGGAGGCCGTCACCCAGATGCCCAAGTACGCAAAATACTTGAAGGACCTCCTTTCCAACAAGAATAAGCTGGAGGGGATAGTTATGGTGAGCTTGAATGAAGAGTGTTGTGCCATCCTGCGAAACCACCCGCCCACAAAGCGCAAATATCTAGGGGTTTCACTATCCATTGTTTTATTGGCAATGTGTGCATAGGAAAATCCTTGGCGGATCTAGGAGCCAGTATAAATGTGATGCATTATAAGTTATTTCAAAAGCTAGACCTAGGTGAACCTAGAACTACTAGGATGAACATTCAGTTAGCGGATAGGTCTATTGTACGGCCTAAGGGTGTCGTGGAGGACTTTCTCATTAAGGTGGCCCCTCTCATTTTTCCGGTCGATTTCGTCATTTTAGACAGTGATGAAAACGTTGATATCCCTCTCATCTTGAGTAGACCTTTCTTAACTACCGCCAAGGCCTTGATTGATGTGCATGGGGGGGGGGGGGGAGTTGGTGCTTAGGCCAGGGGAGGAAGAAGTTACATTCTCCATTGATGATAGCATGAAGTTTTCTCATCATCATGATGATTTTGATTATTGCAAAGAGGTCTCTGAATTCATGGAGGCACCCGCGGATGCCCATACTTCTAACCCTTTTGAAGAGTGTTTTTTGGTAGGGACGAACAGCTCGAACTCTTCGAAAGAGGAAAGCCAACTTCCACAAGATCAAGAAGTGGAGGCCTTGCCCTCGATGCCAAAAATCCCTACCTCCTTGGAGGAACCTCTCGAGTTGGAGCTAAAGCCTCTGCCTCCACATCTTGAGTACGCTTTTTTGAGGGATGATGGGAAACTCCCAATCATCATCAACTCAAATCTTACACCGGAGCAGAAGGCTGAATTGATTGCGGTCCTGAAGCATCACAAGAGGGTGATAGCATGGAAGATCACAGATATCCGAAGGATCAGACCGACCTTTTGCTCGCGCAAAATCCACTTGGAGGAAGGTGCAAAACCGGTTCGACAACCGCAAAGGCGTGTGAATCCTAATACGGAAGAAGTGGTGAAGGAAAAAGTGATTAAGCTATTGGATGCTGGGAATATCTACCCCATCTCGAATAGTCAGTGGGTGAGCCCGACTGACTTGGTACTGAAGAAAGGAATGACGATGGTTGCCAATGAGAAGGAAGAGCTTATACCAACAAGAATAGTGACCGGATGGAGGGTATGCATCGACTATTGAAGGTTGAACGACGCCACTCAGAAAGATCACTTTCCTTTGCCCTTCATCGATCAAATCCTGGAAAGGCTTGCTGGACATGATTACTACTGCTTCTTAGACGGGATGTCAGGATACTTCCAGATCCCAATTGCCACGGAAGATCCAGCTAAGATAACATTCACATGCCCCTTTGGAACATTCGCTTACAGGCGCATCCGTTTGGATTGTGCAATGCCCGAACAACATTCCAGAGATGCATGGTAGCCATTTTTTATAATATCGTGGGGGGGAGATAATGGAGGTGTTCATGGATGACTTTCGGTTTTTGGAGATTCGTTTCTTCACTGTCTTGCCAACCTGGAGAAGGTCCTTGAGCAATGCGAAGAAACCAATCTAGCTTTGAGCTAGGAGAAATTGCATTTTACGGTGCGAGAGTGCATTGTGTTGGGTCACAAAATCTCCATAAGAGGAATTGAAGTGGATTGAGCCAAAGTTGAAACTATAAGCAAGCTACCTCCACCAACGACAGTCAAGGGCATCAGGAGCTCCCTTGGAGATGTTGAGTTTTACCCTCGGTTCATCGAGAACTTCTCGAAGACTGCATTACCCCTGATCAAGCTTCTGGAGAAGGATGCCCATTTCCTTTTCAAAAAGGAATGTTTAGAGGCTTTTAACATCCTTAAGGCGAAGCTTATAGATGCCCCCATAATGGTCTCGCCGGATTGGAGCCTTCCTTTTGAGCTCATGTGTGACACTAGTGACTATGGAGTGGGACCGGTGTTGAGCCAAAGGCTGGGTAGGCATTTTCAACCTATTTGCTACGCTTCAAAGACGCTGAATGATGCTTAGGAGAACTACACAACTACTAAAAAAGAGTTGTTGGCAGTGATCTTCGCTTTCGATAAATTCAGATCTTACCTGGTGCTCTCAAAGGTTATTGTCTACACCGACTACTCCGTCATCTGCTTCTTGATGAGCAAGGCAGACGCCAATCCCCGACTAATTCGATGGATCCTACTTCTTCAAGAGTTTGATGTGGAGATAAAGGACAAAAAGGGAGTTGAAAACCTTGCGGGAGGGGGTAACTCTCGTAGAGATATAAATGACTTCCCTTGATGAACGACTATTCACCCTCGCCGCTATAGAGAGTGCCACACAGTGGTTGCCGACTTCGAGAATTATCTGGATAGTGGGCAACTGCCCAAGGGGATGAACACACATGAGAGAAGGAAGTTCTTCTCCGACCTCCGATGCTACTTCTGGGATGATCCCCACCTCTTTCGGATTGGGGCCGATGAGGTCATTTGGAGGTGTATACCGGAGAAGGAGATGATGGATATCCTAAACCACTGCCACACAGGACCAGCTGGAGGCCATCACGAAGGCAACCAAACTGCAAGGAAGGTGCTCCAGTTGGGGTTCTATTGGCCAAACCTTTTCCGGGATGCCTACAAATTTGTGAGTCATTGTGACAGTTGCCAAAGGACAAGTAATGTTTCTAACCGAAACGAGACGCCCCAAATGATTTCAATTACTTGTGAGATTTTTTATGTTTGGGGCATCGAATTCGTGGGTCCTTTCCCCTCGTATTTTGGTAACAAATACATCCTTGTGGCCATAGACTACGTCTCAAGGTGGGTTGAGGCTCAAGCTGTCCCTACCAATGATGCAAGACGAATCTATGGATTCCTTAAAAAGCTATTTTCAAGGTTTGGGAACCCAAGGGCCATTATTAGTGATCGAGGAGCCCATTTTCAGGGGCAATTTGATAGACTCCTAAATAGCTATGGTCTTACCCATCGGGTGTCAATGGCCTATCCTCCTCAGACTAGTGGACAAGTCGAGTTATCAAATAGGGAACTGAAAAGGACACTGGAAAAGACCGTGGATGTCACACCCTCGCGCATTTTATGCATTTGATGTTTGATTCATTATTGTTGAGTACTAAATAATTATATCGTTGGAAACAAATAAATGCCTATTCAAACCCACTTCAATTTCACCCAAGAAAGTCCACAAACCGAAAAATATGGAGGGGGTTCTGGCCTTGTGTCCATCTCCTTTAATTTCCTCATTTAATTCCTTGCGCCACCTCCTCCTTTGCATGCAAGACCCCATTCCCAATTCATTTCCAAGACCAACCACGTGGCCACTTTTACTTGTAGAGATTTAGTGTTATAAGAGGGAATAAGAAGTGGCATGGATAACTATAACCATTCTTTTTTTGAAGCAGAGTGAGAAAAGGGTGGTTCTGGAGAGGAATAGAGTTAGTAGGATGCTCTTGGGAGAGTTATTATCAAGTCACCTCTTTTGCCATTTAAAATACCAGCAAAATAATCACTCTCTAGCATTTCTCTTCACTATTGGTGTTAGAGGAGTCGTTGCATGGTGTGGATTAGTTAGCGGCTCATGAATTATACAAGGTATTCCCTCTAACTTGCTTGATAGTATCGACTGGTCGAGGGGTAATAATATGAGGGAGAAGGAAATTAGGTTAGACTACGTTTTGCACGCTAAATTACCCAGCTTACTATTTTGTGATACTAATTATAGAAGTGACGATAAGAAAGCAGTGGAAGGCTACACGAGTGGCGGCTATGTTAAGCACTCGATTCACTTGGGTAAAAAAACATGTTCTCTTTATTGTGTGAGAAAGCTTGCGTAGTTAAGGTGGTTGTGGTTAACCACTCGTGGGCACCTGCTAATTATGGATTATGATGGGGAATAGAAGCATTGACCAATTTGCCACCTTTAATTATATTTAAAGTGGAGAAAGATGGGGAGGAAAGGAGTTAACGTGGGCGTGCGGGAAAACTAATTGGATTTCATATTATAAAATTAATTGGTTTCATTAGGGTTATAAACTCGATTTTTAGAATTCGGTTTGTAGGTCGGAGTAACAATAGGGGGTAGCTCATGTGGTGGCTAGAAAGGCCCTTTCATTGTCCCCGACTGCGAGTCGTGTGTTTGATTTGCAGACCTGGCTGCTTTCCAGGGTGTAACTATCTGTTTGAATCAATATATCTGATTATCTTTTGTCAAAAAAAAAAACTCGAATTAGGTTATACGATTATCATTTATTGTAGCGTATTGCGTATGTGAATTCTTAAAAGGGGGATGGAGCAAAGTGGAACAACGACAAGAGCCAAGGTTGCGGCAGTAATTGAGTTGTTAGTAAATTCTAACCTATTAACCGTATGGATACAAATATGGTATTCGGGTCATGAAGCGGCCCGAATATGGAGCATGAAATGTGTGATTGATAGATGGCTATGACTATATGCATGTGAATGAAATGATATGTGATGAATGATGGGTGAATGTGATGTGTGTATGACTATCTGATGATATGTGAAACGTGATAGATGATGATTATGAATGGGAAATGAAATGTGTATCTGATATGAAATGGCCTAAAAGGCTATCTTACACTACGGAAAAGACTACGAGGCAGTGATGGAATAATGAATGTCCTGAATTGCTATACGAGGATAATGGGATAGCCTAATTGGCTATCGTGTGATTACTGGAAAGCCTATAAGGCGAAAATGTGAGATTGAAGCCTATAAGGCGATGATGTGATTATATAAATGGTGAATGTAACCATGTGAATCTTATGAATATGTAAATAGACACGTGTGAAATGATTGATGATACTGCTTGGTACTTGTTTTGTGACTAACTAAAGAATTGTGGCGTCTGTCATGCACTCTATGAGATATGATAATGCGGCTTTATGCCTAGCTATCTGGGAGAGCGACACCAGGCCTGGTCATTGGCGATGCTTAATGCATCTATTGGCGGTGCTTTATGCATCTATTGGCGGTGCCTAAGGCATCTATTGGGCGATGCTTTATGCATCTATTGGCGGTGCTTAATGCATATATTGGCGATGCTTTATGCATCTATTGGAAATATTCGGGGGAGTGCATGACCTGGCAAATTAAAGGCTAAAAGACACGTAAACTGGCTAACATCAATATGTGAATATGTATGTATGTGTGTACATGTGTATGTTGGGTATGATATTACTATGAAAGGAAACATTTATGCGTGCTATACTCGATGGAACATTTATGTGTGCTATACTCGATGAATTATGGTTCTTTATATGAAATATGTAGTTGTGGATATGGGATTGAGAATGAAATATATATGTATAGATGAGCAAGATTGGATTTTAATGGCATGATTGGTTATACATTTGAGCACATATACATAGATGATATTGAAGTAGTATGAGAAACATGTTTGAACTATAAAATATTATATGAAATTGGGGTTGTATTATATATGATGTGTTTTTATAGGAATATGGAGTTGAGTAGGTAATATGGAAATAATTGGGAATTTAGCATGAGATAAAAGGTCTCACGGGGATATAAGTTAGGGATTTTGGCTTTGTAGACGGGATTTGACTTCACTCGTTACCATATTAGTATTGATATTGTTAATAGATTAGGGTTTACTCATTGAGTGACGTCTCACCCCGTCAACATTTTCCCCAGATCGAAAGCTAAATGGGTGAAGGCCGTGGGACGAAGCAAGTTCGAGCTTGATGGTGGCAAGGTGGGCGGTAGACTGAACTCTCCACGTTGTTTTACATAAGACATTTGAAGATGGGTTTTCCCCAAAATTTTGTTATGAGTCAAGATTTTAACGATTTTGCTAAATAGCGGATGATATGCATATTATTTAAATGGTTTTAAATATGAAAAAGTAGTAAGGTGTTACAGTGGATCAATCCCGCAAGGATTGGTCGGCAAACCTCGATGATGCTCTATGGGCGTACCGCACGGCCTACAAAACACCAATAGGCGTCTCGCCTTACCAATTGGTGTATGGCAAGGCTTGCCATTTGCGCGTAGAGCTAGAATACAAGGCTTTCTGAGCCACAAAGCTATTGAATATGGACCCTATTTTGTGTGGAAATGAACAAAATTTGCAGGTGCTTGAACTCGAGGAGTGGTGTCTCCAAGCCTATGAGAACACCAAAATTACAAGGAAAATATGAAGCGCCTGCATGATGCTCGACTGAAAGGAGGGAAGGATTTCCAACAGGGAGACCAAGCACTCTTATACAACTCCCGGTAGCGATTTTTCCCAAGGAAGTTAAGATCGAAATGGTTGGCCCGTATGTGGTAACACAAGTGTTCCCATACGGGGTGGTCGAGGTCTCCCACCCAGATAAAGGAACTTTCAAAGTGAATGGACACCGCCTCAAACGTTACCTTGGAGGAGAGGTAATGCCTCAAAAGGAGATGGTGTTACTACAAGATGCTTGATCCGGAGTCTCCGTCTAGCTAATGACGTTAAAGTAGCGCTTGTTGGGAGCCAACCCAATGAAGGTTAGCAAGTTTGTACTTCTACTACTATCGTATTGTGTTGTGTAATAACCTTGCCTTGAGCGAGTCGTGTTGTGTGTGTGTGTGTGTGTGTTTTGTCTTTTACTTGAAGCTCCAAATCTCCTACCCCTTGAAACAATTCCAACTTTCACTCACCAAGCAAAGCGGTAACATCGTTCTACCCCTATCTTACGCCATTGAGGGAAATGTCGAGCTTAAGTGTGTGGAGGAGTAGTCTATTATTATGCTTGTGTGAGTGTGATTGATGCTTGGAGCCTTGATTTATGCCCAAATTTGAAAATTTTGAGGGCTCCAAGCAATATTTGCATGATCAAAGTGGCCGGTTTGTAGGAGAATCTTGTGCTTATTGGCATTGACATTGAATTGTTGCATGTGATCGAGTACATCCCATGATGATTACTAAGAGGTGAATTAAGATAGTGCAAAGGTTTAGTTCTCATGTTTGCAAAAATCAATGGATGTTTTGACTCAATTACTTGTTGATTACAATTACCATGCATGTTGCTTTGTGAATTGGAATAGATGGATGGGTGACTAGGTAGCCATGTGAGCTTTGAGTCGATCGTTTTCTTCTTGTGTGCTAAGATCCCTCTTACCATGGCGAGTAACATCACAGTTTTCACTAGCGAGGATGATGGAGGCATAGGATTAGTCCATGCCCAAATGTTGGTTCCGAAATAATTTATCCACTAGTCAACCCCTTTGAGCCTTGTGACTTTCGGGGTCGTTCTCATGTTAGGAACTTTTTTCTTGTGAGCTTAATGGTGTTGATAGAATGACCCCCCATCCTTTCTTCCTGTCTATACGTGTGTCGTCCTTGTGTCCCGGAGATCTCGCCTTTGAGCTCCATTGAGGTTTTACATAAGAGGATTGTGTGCGGTTCTTGCTAGGAACGAAAGTGAAAGGAAGAGTAGTGTTGGAGTGAGTCTTAAAAAGAGAGCTTTGATCGTTAAAATTAGTGTGGCAAATGTTTAACTCTCTAGTATCCCCTCAAAAAGAAAAGAAAAAGAAAGAAAAGGAAAGTAGAACGAAAGAAAAAGATAGAGAAACGAAAAAAGAGGTAATAAAACGGGGTAAATAAAGTAGAGAGTGCCACAAGGAATCAAAGAGTATGCTCTAGGTGAGGTTTCTTAGCACACAAGCCATTGAAACCTCCACATTGTCTTAGAACTCCTTCACTACCAATTCGAAATGTGATATCAAGAGTAGACCGAGGAAGAGTGCTTATGGGAAGTTCATGATGGGTGATAGTTTGGAAGGGAGAAGCAAAGGTTTTGGCCGATGTTATTGGCCGTTGTTTGTAAGGAAGGTTCTTAGTCGAAACCATAGAACCTTCAGTTTTAGGGTGAAGATGTAGGATCTCATGATGTGTTTGCCGGTCCAAGATAGGGTGCATAACCCATGGTTATGCACCCGTCAGTAACCCAACAGGAGCCGTCCATCTGGAGCGGGGAGATCTAACGGCTGGGGTCGGAGCGGGGTGGGGCAGGGGTATTTTTGTCCATTTTTTGAATTTATGTCCTTCGCTCGTTATTCCTTTTTTGTTTATCCTTGGCCGAGCTGGAATTGGATTCATGAGAGAGAATGAGAAGTAAACAGAGCAATCGAGAGTTTTTCTCCGAAGGATCTGTCGATGGCGAGAAGGTTGGTGGAGGACGCGATTCTTAGCTTAATCGGCAGCGGACTTGCGAGTTATAGTTGTTAGAAGGTCTGTGGAGGACGCGATTCTTCTTCTTCTTCTTGCTCGAGGTTTTGGCTCGATTTGTTTGTGTTGAAGTTTCTGCTGGCCGTTGTTTGGTCTCCGTCGAGGTAATTTGTAGTGATAGTAGGATTTCACGTTTGCGCATTGATTCCGTTCTGTAATTTGTTTTTGATGTTGTGTATATATGATTATACCATGCAATACCAGTTTATACCATATATCTGCGTTTTCTCTTTTGTGCTCTCTGTTTTCTGTTCTTTGTGATCAATGATCTCATTATGTTTGTATAAGTTTGTTCAGTTGATTGATCCGTAGTTGAATTTATGTTTTGTGGAGGAATTTTTTGAATCTTCTTGGTTGACTGAGCTTTTTTAGTGCAATGAGTGATCTCAATCAAGGCGCCATTGTTTCTTTGAATGAATCTAATACTGGATCTAGTTCTTCTAATAGTGTTGTTGAATCGGAAGGTAAGAATTTTAAATGTGTTTGGTAAGTTGATGTTTGTATATATGTTATACCATACAGTACCATACTGGTATTTTATAGTATTTTTGCATATGAGTGTTGTGTTTTATTTTTTGTAGATTGTTTTTATAGTTGTTGTGATTTTATGTTTCTGTATATATGTTTATACCATGCAATACCGTGCAATACCATGTTATACCATATATTACCATGTTATACCATAAAGTACCATACTGGTATTCTATGGTATTTTTGCATATGAGTGTTGTGTTTTATTTGTTGTAGATTGTTTTTATAGTTGTTGTGATTTTATGTTTCTGTATATATGTTATACCATAAGAAACTACACTGGTATTTGTATAGTTTTGATTGTAATAAACTTTACCATATGATACTATGGTGGTATTATAGTTTTTACAACATTAATGTTTCATTGTTTTTATGGTTTAGGTTTTGATGGTATTGATCCTAATGTTCGAAGTTCCTGGAACAATCTTGAGTTCGCTACAACTGATGATGCATATAGATTTTATGTGGATTATGGGAATTATAAAGGTTTTTGTGTGAGGATTTACCATCAGTCGGCATGTCCGAAGCTTAATAATGGTTCAAATGCGGTTTATTATATCAAGTATTGTTGCAATAAGGAAGGCTGGAGGATTGGTAGTGAGAATAATCCTGCTAATCGTGGTTCTATTTATGCGAAGGCTCGTGTTCGTCATGTTCCAGAAATCAGGGGTGGATGTGATGGTGCCTATATTCGAATTAGGTGGTTTAAGCAGTTCAAGTGTTACAAGATTTATAAGTGGTATGATGTGCATAACCATGACATGATTCCTGTGGCTATGCGTCACTACATGAGATCGAATAGAAAATGGCTCCTGTGTATAAACTGTTGGCAGATGTGAATGATGCTGCTGGTATAGGTGCGACTGCTTCGTATAATGCAATTAGTACAGCTGGTGGTGGTCGGAAGTGTATTGGTTTCACAAGAAATGATTTGAAGAACCACCTGCGGACAGTGAGGACGTCATCAATGGAGCATGGTGATGCAACTGCATTACTAAAACACTTTAGAAGACAAGCTAAGCTGGATCCTGGCTTTTTTCATGAGGTAGAGGTTGATGTGGATGAGAATATTGCTAGTATTTTTTTGGCAGATGGGAAGATGCGGATGGATTATCATTTTTTCGGGGATTCAGTTAGTTTTGATACTACATACAGAACGAATAAAGAGTATCGACCACTAGGTATGTGTTCTTATTTTTGTGATTATTCTGTATTATAGTTATTTTTATTTGGTATTATGTTGTTACCTGTTAATACTATGGTGGTATTTTGTGGTATTCATTATGTTGTTATCTGTTAATACTATGGTGGTATTTTGTGGTATTCATTTTTTTAACACTGTGTACCACATGGTATGTGCAGCTCTGTTTGTTGGTTTCAACAACCATCATCAACTCACTGTGTTTGGAGCTGCCCTTCTATATGATGAAACAACGGCAACGTTTGAGTGGTTGTTTAATCAGTTTTTGGAATGCATGGGAGGTGTGAGCCCGTTGTCTATTTTTACTGATCAGGCTGCTGCAATTGCTGCTGGTATAAGGTCTGTTTTCCCAAGTTCTTTCCATGGATTGTGTTCATGGCATATCTCACAGAATGCAGTTGTTAATTTGGGATCTTTGTGTGATTCGGATTTCCTTTGTGAGCTTAGCTATTTGATGTACAATGTTGATGATGAGGATGATTTTGAGTATAATTGGAAAAGAATGATAGATAAGTGTTTCCCTGGGAAAGGACCTCTTGGACACAGTTGGTTACAAGGTATTTACAAGGTGAGGGAGAAGTGGTCATCGGCTTGGGTGAATTCTCATTTTGGTGCTGGTATGAAGAGCACCCAGTTAAGCGAGTGTTGCAACAGTAATCTTCGTCATTACTTGCAGTCAGAATTTAGTATTCCTAGATTCTTTGTACATTTTGATAGGATGCTTGATAATAAGAGAGATGCTGAAGAAGAAGAGGAGTACAGAGCACTTTCTACGTTTGCTGATTGTCGCTTTTCAAGCAGTGCTATTGTCAAGCAAGTTGCTGATCTATATACCCCAAAAATATTCCAGCTTTTTCTAGGACAGTACAAAGAATCTCTTTCATACAATGTTTTCCCTAATACAGAGTTAGCTCAAGAAGGGAATGTAAAGATCTTTGATGTCTTTACATTGTTAGCAGACTTGTCAAGATTTGACAGCAGACTGCTCATTGTTGATTTTGATAATGGTGAAATTAAGTGTACTTGTCGCAAGTGGGAGTCAAGTGGTTTGTTGTGTAAGCATCAATTGAGGGGATATGATTTGTTGTGGTCTACAACTTGCAATGTGAAGTTTCATCACATCCCTTCTAGTTTGATTTTGAAGCGATGGACAAGGACACCAAAAACTGGTGGGAATTTTGGATTTGCAGTTTCGTCTACTGAGGCTCCGTCAAAGTATCGGTCTCGCCTGTTCAATATTTCAGCTGTTTCTGCTTCGCTTATCAGTAGGGTTTGTTTGAATGATGATTTGTATAAAACAACCATGGATTTCATGAGTGATTTGATCAAGAAGTGTGAAGCTTTACCAACTGTTGAAACAGCTGGTACGGGTGGATCGACCAACTGTGAGAGTAAGTTCCTTGGCCCCCTTTTGTTTGTGTATATGATTTTTGTTATTTTTTTGTCTGCCAAGTTGTTTTACCATGTTGTACCATGTTGTACCATGTGGTATAGTGTGGTTTTCTTTATTGTTTCTGGTAATATGTTGGAATACCATATGGTATTATGTGGTATTGATTGTAGTATGTATTTCTTATTTGTAGGTGATGTTCCAGTTCGAAATGTGAAGGGGTTTAAGCCTAAGAAGGATTCATTTAAGCCTTCGAAACGACCTATTACAGAAGCTGAGATTGGAAGGGCGGCTAGTAGGAAGAAGAAAAAGACTAGCAGATTGGAAGAGGAGAAATTGAAGGCTGTGGAAGAAAGTTTGAAGTTGAAGTTGTGATAGTTGTTTGAAGGCTGTGGAGTTTTATTAGCTGTTGAAGGATGTTGATTTTTATGTGTTTCTTGCATATTTGTTTTGTTTTGAAGTAGTATTGATCTGCACATGTGAAGGACTTAATGTTTAGTGGATGATTTTAACCTTTGATATAATGTTTTTTCTATATGGTGTTGTGTGGTGTTTTTAAAAATGTTTATACCATGTTATACCATATGGTATACTATGGTAAAAACATTTTTATGACTGTAATCTTAGCTAAGTGTTGTGTTCAGTTTAGCATAAAATAGCATGTGGTTTTGTTCTGGTGTATTTAAAAATCCTTATACCATGTTATACCATATGGTATACTATGGTAAAAATCTTTATACCATGTTATACCATATGGTATACTATGGTAAAAACATTCTAGATGACTGTAATGTTAGATATGTGATCTGTGCTGTGTTCAGTTTCCATAAAATACCATCTATGTTGTTGTGGTGCATTTAAAAACGTTTATACCATGTTATACCATATGGTATACTATGGTATACACATTTTGATGACTGTAATCTTAGATCTGTGACAATAATAAGGGGTAAGATAAAGTACTAGGCTGTTACATAACCATAATAAGAAGTGTTTCAAATGTAAGTTATAACACACCCATAAGAAAAACACTGAATACCTTGTTTGTTCTAAAAAGCACACACATAAAAAAAAAACTAGCAAATTGGTTGTCTGCAAAAGCATTGTTTTCAGAAGCTGATGTCTATAGTAGATATTGTAACCATACTGATTCTGTCCCCTTCCCTTACTTGCTTTGATTCTTCATAGCACAGTACTTTGTGGCAGCCTTCATTATCCGATCACGCTCCAGGTTGTCTTTATTGAGGATGATATCCCGCATGATACACTCCCTGTCTTCTTTGATCAGATCCATTCTCTTCCAGTCTGATTGCATAAAAGTCTTGTACTTTCCTTCCCAGTGGCGCATCCATCTGATGATGTACAATCCACATGAGCGTTTATCTGGCTGTGTAATCTTCCCCAGATTGAACCAGTCAAACTTTTCCCAGGGGATTTGTCTGTTTCCACCGTACACACTCATGTAGTTGATTGCATAATTGACAACTCTTGCTGCCACTGGTCTGTAAGTCGAGTCAAAGTCTTTGTAGCGGAGACTGTCAAGCACATCAAATCTTGTGTTCTTGATGTTGACACAGATCATGATGTAGTGTTCACCATCACAGTAAGGGAAGAACCACTGCATATAAATGAAGTGAGAATGTTAATGTACAATTATAAATATGTTTTGAGGAATAGTTTTTTGATGTCATACCATATGGTATTTTATGGTATTTGTAGTGTTACTTACAAGGTCACAGTTCTGGAAGTTGAGGTCTTTTGCCCATGGTTTGTCAGAAATATATTCATCCACCTTGTCGAAGTATTGGTCTGCACTTAGTGGAGGTTTGTTGTTTTCTATGTCCAGCTTGCAGTCAGACTGTACATTTGAAATTATGTTAAAGCAATCATATATTCAGGTATGGTAAGTATAGTACATTAAAATATGGACAAACTTACTGCCAAATGACTAGAGAAGAACCACTTGGTGATTTTTCCTGTTTTTGCTTGATCTCTGTTCATCAGATCTCCATACCAGTCCACGACATCATTTGTTATCAGTTGATCTATGTCAACAGATTGCAATGATGACCTTTTGAGCAAGCCTGTTGCATCCTCTCTTCTGAAGATTACCTCGTCCCTGTTCAGAAGAGTATACCACATTATACCATGTGGTATTGTTCAAAATTATACCATATCATACCATACCATACCATACCATACCATATGTCATTAAGAAATTAATTGATATTAAGAAATTTACTTACTCGGAGACAATTTTGTTGTCTTTGCACCTTATGTACTCAAGAATGTCATTGAAAACTTCATCAGGAGTTGTCTGAGGTGGTGTAACCATCATTGCAATTGGGATTGCATCTAGGGCACCATCTTTTGCTTCAACTGGTTGATTTGCTGCTGATGAGTCCATTCCTGGCATTGGTTGTGAAACTGGTGTACTCAGGTCATCAATGTAAGCAGCCAAGCATGCATTTATCTCCTGTAGCCTCTCCTGGCTGTTCGAGTACAAGCTTGACCATTCAATGAATTGTTTATTCTCCAACTGTTTGCTTGTTTTTTCTTGTGGAGGGGTTGATGTTTTTGCTTTCTTCTCTGGTCCATGGACATTCTTAACCACTATCCTTCTTTTGCGCGGTTCTTCTGGTTGTTGTGATGCTGTTGCTGTGGTGATGTTGACATTTTCTGTTTGTGATGGTGGATTGAATGGGCTGAGGTCAAAAGATGGTATGTCCCTGTCTTTGGTGGTGGCTGTCTTTGGTGGTGCATCTGTGGGTTTTCCTGCAGTCTTTGGTGGTGGCTGTATTGCTTCTTCATCATTGTTCTTCTCCTTTTCTCCCTCCTTTGAAACAAGCACATCTGACTGTGTCTTTTCACTGTCATCTGCTTCCTGATCTTGATTCATTTCACTTGACTTTTCTTGATTTCCTTTTTTGCTGGCCTCCTGGTTCTTCTCAGCAGTTTCAGTAGTATCCTTCTCAGCAGTTTCAGCAGGATTCTCTTTCTGCTGTTGAGCTTCTGGTTTTGTTGGAGAACCATCTTGATTCTTCCTTTTCTTCCATTGTGTTGGTCCAGCTAGATCCACTGTTGTTTGTTGAGAATCATCATTTCCTTCAGATTCAGTGACTGTGGGTTCTTTCCTTTTGTCTGTTTTGAGCTTGTCAAAAAAATGCTGCAGAGTGTCTTGCAGGTTTGCATCTTTTTCTATATCTTCATCATCAGACTCAGCTCCTTCAGTTTGTTCGATAATCACGTCATCAGATCTTTCTCCTTCCACATCATCAAAGTTTTGATCAGCTTTTTGCTCCAACATTTCCTTGTGTTTGACAAGCTCTTCAATTTGAGCTCTGTACTGCTTCTTGATTGATAGCAACATAGCTTTCATTGATGTTTTCACCATCTTCAGTGCTCTCTCAGCCTGCATTAGTCATTTTTGGTCTGTAAGTTAATATTTACAGTAGAATACCACATATTACCATGGTGGTATTGAATGGTATGTGCATTATACAGTATAATACCATATATTACCACCATGGTTCATGTGTGGTATTTTAGTTGTATGAATTGGACAATTTGTAACATATGGTAATTTATACTTACTTGGGGGACAGTCTTGATCATCTTCAAATCAAATATTAGTGATGCTGATGGTTGTTGGTCTGTGTTGTTGTCATCATCATCACTGTCAATGTCGACAATCTTCTCTTCTTTGTCCTGTATCTTCATCAGCTTATGGAGTTCTTCTCCACCATAGTAGCTCACTATGTTTTCATAGTTCCTTTGCACAGCAGTGTCATCATAGTAGCTTGCTGTTGGGATTTGGAACTGGGTGGAGAAGGCCATTTCATCCAACTTGTACATGAAGCATACCTTTTATTTGTTTGTGGCAAGGAGAAACAGTTGTATTAGTATTTGATGTACTAGGATTTGTAAAGCTTTTAGGGTATAGTAATTGAAAATGGAATTATTGTGGGTATAGATACTTACTGTTAAGAAATGAAGATCTGCATTGATGTACACGGTGTTTGCAGTCAACCCGTTATTCATGTAGTCGAAGAAGAACTTGCACCAGTTGTATTCTTTGAAATGGTTGATTGTGTCTGGGTGCAAGTACTCCAGCACATTCAACTCAGCAGTAGGGTTTGAATATGGGCACAGTAGAGCTCCCGTAACCAGAATCCAGAACAGCTTGATCCATATTGCAATGGTATGAGCATTAGAAATGTCATGCTCTACATTAGCTAATTTCACCCTTCCATTTGTAGCTGGAGCTTCTAGTTCTAGTAGGACCTGCAACGCATAGTCTACTGCTTCTTCCACTGATAATTTCTTGAGCGTCACTTCCTTTTTACCCATTGGTAGACCATAAACTCTATGAAAGTCAATTGGTGATATCTTCATGTAGGTTCCACCAGGCAGCTTGAATGCTTTCTTTATCGGATTGTACTTGCTCATTGTGAATAGAGCAAAGTTCGTGTTTATCTTTGTTTGCTGGATGGATGTTAAGCCATCAAGGCCTAATTCCTGCAATTTTTCCCTCTGTTCAGCTGTTAATGTTCTTGAAAGTGCATTGATTCTTGTCGGGCTGCACCTTGTTCGAAATTTGTCCCTATGTCTCGACATGATGTACCTGCATCCAGAATAGAAGAATTGCTATAACATACCATAGCATACCATAGCATACCATATTCTACCAGTAAGCAAAAACACCAACTACCATACCATAGCATACCATACTATACCATATTCTATCAGTAAGCAAATGAATAATTGAGGTAGAGGCTTTGACCAGTACTTGTGTGGTTTCTCCTTAGAATACCATATTGTACCAGTGTGGTATTGTAAGAAAATCAGAGCATAGAATAGGTTTTTATACTTTTCCTATAAAATCTTTTTCATTTTTACTTTGACCACTACTGGAACGGTTTCTCCTTATAATACCATATGGTACCAGTGTTTATACCATGTTATACCATATGGTATACTATGGTATTGTAAAAAAATCAGAGTATGGAATAGGTTTTGTTGTCGTTTTATACACTTTTCTATAAAATGTATTTCACTGTAAGTACTTTTACCACTATTGGAACGGTTTCTCCTTATAATAGCATATGGTACCAGTGTTTATACCATGTTATACCATATGGTATACTATGGTATTGTAAAGAAATCAGAGTATGGAATAGGTTTTGTTGTCGTTTATACACGTTTCTATAAAATGTAGTTCACTGTAAGTACTTTTACCACTGCTAGAACTTTTCCCCCTTAGAATACCACATGGTACCAGTGTGGTATTGTGAAAACATCAAGCATAGTAGAGTTTTTCGTTTGGTTTTTGTGATGTATGTGCTTGAAATTAGACATTCAGAATCACGAATCTAGTTTTTGAAGAAAGAAGTGGTGATTTACCTTGATCGTGTCTAAGTTGGAAAACCTAATTTTGTCGCTGAAGACGTTGAAGTGGAAACCCTCACTTGATCACTGAAGGCGTCGAAGTGGAAACCC